CACGCGCACACGCACACACACACACTCCACGCTGTTTCATTGTCTTTACAGCACCAGGGCACTTACTACTAACTGAAGTCTTCTTTCTTTTCTCTCTCCATGTCCACTCCACTAGAATATCAGCTCCAAGAGCTCAGAGCCAGGTATCTTCCTCACTGTTCTATCACCAGTGCCCAGAACAGTGCCTGCCACACAGTAGGTGCTCAGCTCACACTCACAGCATTGCATCTAAATTGCACCAAGTGGCAGGTTCCAACTCACGACTTTTAGCTGCTGTTGTTCATTGCAAATGCTGGTGTCCTACTTTCCGGTTCTGCTCTGAGGGCCTGCTACCACCCTTTCCCCTCAGCCTACAAGGACTCAACACAGGTGACGCTGGCTCACACAGCCGGACTTGACCTTCTCTGTTCAGTGCTTCTCTGTCTTCCAGCAGCTTCTGTCCTATCTACCAACCTCCATTCAGCTTCACTGAAGCTCATTTGCACCAACTCTCCTTCAAAACTATTTTTCAGCCTATTTTAATGTATAGTTTTATAAATTTTAACACACGTATAGATCTGTTTAACTATATTGCCACAGTCAGAAACCCCCCAAAACTCCACCACGTTCTGTAGTCACAGCCTCCGTCCACCCCTAACCCTTGGCAACCAGGGATCCGCTCTCCATCACTTTAGTCTTTTTGAGAAAATCTCAAAACTGGATTCATACAGTATATAACCCTTGGAGGATGGCTTCTTGACTCACTGGTGTTTCCTCGAGATCCCTCGAAGCTGGTGCATAAATTGGCTGAGTTCATTGCTTTTTTATTGCTGGGTGTCACCCCTCTGCATGGATGTACTAAGGTTTGTGTAGCCAATCACCTGTGAAGCACACTTAGGTTGTTTCCAGTTTGGGGTGATTATGAATAAAGCTGCTATAAATATTAATATAAAGCTTTGATGTGAGTGAATTTTCATTTCCCTAGGATAAATATCTAGGAGTGGGATTGCTGCATCGCACTGGACCATTTTGCACTCCCCACCAGCAATGTTTGAAAGCTCTAGCATCTTCACCTTATCTCTAGCACTTATTATGATGAGGTGTTTGTTTTTTAATTTAGCCTCTATCAAAGGTTTGTGGTGGTATCTCATTACGGTATATTTTTAATGAAAAAAATAAAGTAGATTTGAAAACAGATCACATCACAGAAAACAATAGTGAATACAATGCTTTTAAAGATTTTACTTATTTATTTGACATCGAGACAGAGAGAGAGCGCACAAGCAGGGGGAGCGGCAGGCAGAGGCAGAGGGAGAAGCAGGCTCCCCGCCGAGCAGGGAGCCCGATGCGGGGCTGGATCCCAGGACACGGGGATCCTGACCTGAGCCAAAAGCAGACGCTTAACCAACAGAGCCACCCAGGTGCCCTGGTAAATGTTATTTTTATATAAGTATGTAAGTACACAGTCACACACATAGGTAATACTAAGTCATAATGCAAAATATATTTTATACTGCAGATTCTGGTAAAAAAATGTTTGAAAGTCACTGTTATACCACAGAAGGAAGACCCAGGATTGGCATTTCTGCTTGCTTCAGAGTGAGTTAGAACCTCAAAACCTTAACTAAGCTCAACATGATGGCAGGGAGAAGAAACCGAGGTCAGACTTGAAGGGCACGGATTGAGAATGCAGTCGGGAAAGATGGTGTCATCAGCGCTGAGAAGCAGGTTTAACAGAACTCACTCCTTTGTTCATTCTTAACTGTATATGCAAACCATCATTCAGTAACAAGCTGTTGGCACCTGGGGCCTGTTTTAATGATTGTACCATCGAAGACAGATGTGCTAGATCTACAGATTTATCTACAGGATGTATTGAAAAATGAGGGTAGACAGCTCTTAAAAAAAAAAAAGTCTATTTAATGCATTATACCTCCCTAAACGGTATATTGCATGTATAAAATAATGAGGTCATTTCCATGTGTTGTTGGGGACATAGGTGTAGAGGGACCGTCTCACGGCTGACAGGAGTGTGTCTGGTTGCATCCTGGAGAACATGCTTACAGTCCCCAAATCACGTAGACACAAACCTGCTGACCTGACAGTTCTGATGGCGGGTATGGTGTCTATTACAAACTTCTCACAGGTCCACAAGGGAACATGTACAAAAATGTTCCTTGAAGCATTATTTGGGGACACATGAAATCGGAGGCCATTTGGGTGCCCATTCCCAAGACCTGGATTGCGAAAATGCGGATGAATGCCTGGAAGCACGAGGCAGTGGGCAGAAGCCACGGGGTCGGACAATACTGAAGGTATCGTACGAGGAGAAGACTAAGCGGCGGGACGAGATATAAAAAGCACTTGCATAAATTAAAACCACATTGTATAAAAAACAATAATGCAAATTTTGCTGGAACACATGCAAACAAAAAGTACCCGTGAAGCACCGAGAGAAACAAAAATAGGCAGGTAGGAATAAAAAACAGAATTAAACATTTTTAAGAGAGCCTAGATTTTCCAGGCTGGTGGAGTGACTCAGCTCTGACCTGAAGGGATCTTAGTGGCTGCTGGGTTTGTGCTGTTATATTGTGCAATTTGTACAATATTGTGTTGTTTATTTAGTATAATACTTACTTAGCTAGTTAGTTGATTTAGCCTATCACCTAGAGGGATCTCAAGTCATCTGATACTAGTTCCAGTAGCTCCAGGAAGCTGTTTTCAAAGGCAGGCTTCCCGTCAACATGCCAGTCTCCTTCATGCCTTGGTTTTGTACTCTCTCTGGTGGATGTTGTGTGTTTACCCTACTCAAGTTCGCTGAGAGCAGGAAATGTTCTGACTGGTCCCATGAGCCGATATCCAGGGTGGTGTCCCCCTATCAGAGAGAATTCTTGAATTAGGCCACTTCACAGGCAACTGGTCCTACCTATGAATGGCCTTTGGCTCAGGCAAGGATCCTTAGCCCAAACAGATTGTAGAAATTTTAGCATTATAAAACAAAGCATGACCTTTCTCTCTTTCCTTCTTTCTTTCCTTTTTCTTTCCTTTTCTTCCTTCCTTCCTTCCCTTTTCTTTTCTTTCTTCTTTTTCTTTCTTTTCTTCTTTCTTTCTTTCTTCTTTCTCTTCCTCTCCTTCCCTCCCTGTCTCCCTCCCTTCTTCTCTTTCTTTTTAATAAGGAAGTTTAAGGATGCTTTTCTCAGAAGAGAGGAGTGTTGGGAGTCTTCCTGGCACTTCACAATGTCAGTCACACCCTGACTTCCGTGTGCCATGTGCCCTATACAGAGGAGATGCATGGCTGTGAAACCCAAGGATCAGAGGGATTGAAACAGACAGACTAGACTGTCCCCCAGACACAGCCGGGTTGGAAGGTGACACTACAGCATGAGGACAACAGGTTTTGGACTTATGTCTGGGGACCATCCAGACACTGCCAAATACTCAGTGTAGGACACGCTTCATTACTGTCCCACACACAGACTTCTTGCGCGGTTATGCTTAGCGTGGTGATTCAAAGAATATGTGCTCCATGTATTCTGGTTGTGCATCTTCCACTCATACCTGCCTCGCGTTGGGAAGTGTCAGTGTAGACCACACAGCTTGTGTGTGAGCATCAGCAGCTCCAGGCATCAGTGGCCGTTTGCCTGTAGCTTGCCCAAACCTATTGAAAACCAGATTTTCTCCAATCTTTCCTTGCTTCTGAATGTATTCTTTTCTTTTTCTTCCCTTCTCTGAGAATTATAGCTAGTAGGTCAGAACTGGAGAGCAGGGAGCGTGTGAGTCACTGAGGCGAAGGGAGGGAGTGTCAACAGCCCAACTTTTGCAGAAAAATGGACTGGCTTCAAGGTCAGAGAAATAACCTCTATGCGTTTGCAGCAATTGTGCCTGTCTTCTGTCTAAAGCTCCATCCATTTCCCACCCTGCACTCCAGCCTTATATTTTAGTGGATTGATTGGGGAGAATTCAACTCTGCTTGACATTTTTGCAAACGCCTGACGCCACTTAGAATTTTGTTAAAATTTCTCCTGTGGAAAAATGTATTTCACTCGTCCTAAAACTTTATGACCATTCCGAAGATCCTATGTTAGCACATTTTGGAGAACAAGTGGGTTTTCTCTTAAACCAATTTATAGCCATACCTTTTAGTTGCTGCAATGACGTTGTCAAGCCAAGGCATCAATAACACTGTGTGCACTTTCACTTCCCAATTTCTTTTTCTGTTTTCACGGTAATGGGAGCTTCGGTCTGGAAGAAATGAGAGCCCTTGGCACTGCACACCCTGTCATCTGTGCGGGTGGGGAGGAGAGAGCCTGGAGAGTCCCAGCAGAGGCCCTGGGAAGTCACATCTTTCACCCACTAGAAAGGTCAGCAGGAAATATTTCCACAGAGTATGTGACAGAATGCTCTCCTCCATTCTATTTTTATTGGACATGAATTGCATTTATTAGTTAAGGCACATGTACCTTAAAAATGAATGAACGAATGTGTATCAACCAAATTGAAAACAAAAGCTTTCAAAACACACACACACACACACGCGCGTGTGCACACGCGCACATATAAAAGCTTTCGTGACAAAAGGAAACAAAATGAATGAATGAAATGCTAAAGGAAAGGACTGGCGTGCTGCTGAGGGGTGAGAGTACATCCTGCATTTTTTAGATGAAGCAAAAATAAAAGGTCAGAGTCTTAAAAGTCTCAGTCTAGTCAATCTTTCAAAATTAAAAATCAACTCCCACTTTGCTAGGTGTTTGCCACTGAAATTTAACTTCTGTGTTGGTTCTCATAAACTCAAAAATATAGAGATCGGGAATTTGATAGGAAACTGAATCCTGAAAGCATATTTAAAAAAAAAAGCAAGCAGCCTAAAATGTCAAATGACCAAGTAAAATGTTTAAATGCAACATTTTAATTCAAGCACTTATAAGTAGTAGTTGAAATGAATGGATGCACTAATGAATGGAGGCATGTTGAAAAAAATGTAGCATATTTGCTACAACATAAAGTAAAACTTTGTAACAAGATTATGAAAGTGATTTTTATTATTTTGGTAATGGTGTCCAGTTATAGGTAATTACAGATACAGAATGTTTTTAATCTGGTATATCGAACAGTAAAAAGATACATGTTAACACTGTGTCACCAAAATGTATTTCAGTTACAACTATGTATGATAGTTGCTCTGTACATGTTAAAAGCAAACATGATAAAATACAATAAGAAAAGGTTAAATAAAAAGTTATCGTTGAGCTATAAACATCTACTAAAGTACCACACAGTGTGTCATAGCTAAGAACATACAAATTAATATAAATGCTATGCAACTACTTGATCTAATATAGATCTAATAAGGAAATATTAAGGACATAATAGCATTTCACAGGTGAAGGCTAAGTTCTGAGACATGAAAGCTTTCAGAGAAAAATAAAAAAAAGCTTTCAGATAAACCCACAAAACAAACCTGAGACATCTTTTTGTTTGGAAAAAAGTAATCTTCTTGCAAAGTCAAAGCTTCAGTATATAAAGGAAGCATTTAAGAAACAATACATTTTAACTATCATCATAACCTGGAGTAGATATTCTGACTACAACAGTGACCAGCAAATACATTCTTTCTCTGGAAGAAATAAAATAAGGTTTTCTGATTAAACCAGTAGCTGGATTATTGTAGCCTCCAAGTTTGGTTATTTGTATTTGTCTGTTTTGGGTTTTGATTTTCTTTCTTTAACTAGATTATAAAATATAGAATAATCTAGTTGTATTTAAATAAGCCAGGTAGCCTCCAAGAGCCCACCTCACTTCCTATATAAGCACAGCTTTTCCATTGCCAGAAGCCCCAGACGAACTGAGCCTACATCCGTACAGATTCTAGCACATCTGGACTTGGATGACTTAATGATGCATCCAGATTGGTACATGATTACTCTTGGTACCACACATGTCTCAGAGTAAGTGGGCTAGGGCAGCCTAATTCCTGTCTCGGCCCTGCTTAGGGGTGGAGGGTAATCACGTTTTCGAATAGCTGGTGACAAAAAAATTTAAATGTACTGACTAAGCCCGATTTCTACAGTTGGCTTTAGTGCCTTTAAAAATACTGGCACAGTTCTACATACTCAAGAGGTAGAGCTATGAGATCCTATTGATTAAAATTATACGAAATGTTTATTAATAAAAGAATTCCAAATTACAAAATAGACTGTCTGTGTTGTAGATTTTTTTTTAAGTCTAGTTAGGATTTAACGTTGGCCCACGAAACATTTTTCTAAATGTTCGTATTTCAAATTTTGTGCTTCAGATGAATTAATTTGGAATGAGTGGGGAAAAGTTTAACCATATTTCTTCCTTTTCCTCTCTTTTTTTCTCACCACCCCTACGCACAGCCGTCACTCTTCCCTTTGTAATTTTGATTAAAAGATTCCAAAAAGCTTAACAGAATGTAAGAAGCAGTAAGCTTTCAGGACATGGTATACCTTCCTCTGCAAGTTCACATGCAATGAAGTTAAAGCTCCAACCTTTACTTTGAACTTTCACCATCTTCTATAATGCATTTTGTGTGTGTGTGTTTTTTAAGGTTTTCAGGCTCTTTACATAAATGGAACATACGTATTTCATTCAGGCCTCATGTTTTCACAGTTACCAAAGTGACTGCTCACCAGGCCGGCCATCCTGAACAGCATGCCCGATCTGATGGGCTCCAATGGAACATGATGCAATCTTCAAAACAGCCTTCTAACACTACCTTCTGATTCTGACTTTCCAAAACACAGACATGAACACTATTTTTAAAAAATCATTTAAGAAACTAGGCCTATTATGATGGGAATCTCCCCCCTGGTTCTCTAATAAAGAGAACATCTAGATAATTCATTGCATTTTCCCCTACTCATCAGGCAGACACAGGTTAAATTTCTCTGCCTTGCCCAGGCTAATGGTTAGATTTCCAGTAACTTCAACTGGAACTCAACAATCAGAATGGCTCTAAAATCTAATTAAAATTTAAGCATGCCAAGAGTTTGGAATTATAACATATTAACTTCATTTCACAAGAAGATTCTAGATTGTGAATATAATTTTAGAAAATATCTTGTAAAGTAATAAGGAACACATCTTAGAGATCCAATTTGAGACTTTTTAGTTCTCATTCAAGTTGCAGATGAGAGAATGGACTTTGCTTTACCTTGGTTTCCATCATGTTAAAATAGGCTCATTTCACGTATTTGAGCCCAAATTGGTTGAATTATACTTTTTCATTTGTCTTTCTTTTGGAAAGATGTACATTATTCAAACTTTTCTTAACCAAAACAGCTAATACTATTTAATAATCTACTAACTAATACATATTGCTTATGATAATTATAATATAAATATATTGACTAGTATTTGGTGACTTTTTTAACCTATGAAACTTCCTGAAATTAATGCATTATTATCATATACTATAAAGCTTAGCTGGGCCAGTAAATCTTTTTTTTTCTCATCATTGAAATTCTATACTTTGGCAACAACAAAGATATGACTTCGGCTTAGAATTTTTTTACAATTTAACAACTTACACTTTAAAATTCCTGATAAATCATTGAAGCCTACTATAATCACTGAATCAACCATACTATTAATTTCTTTATAAGCAAATGACTTTATGATTTATGCAAAAAAAAGAGAAAGCATATCCCTAGGCAAAAAGACAAATCCATCCATGTAGATACTACAGCCTCCCTAAACTATTTTTTATTGAAGAGGTGAGAAAGGAATTTCTGGTCTTTACCCTTTTCCCCTATCACCCTCAATCCCATGTCTTACACTGAAATTATTTGCCTTTGCATATTCAACAATATATTCTGAAACTTTGCTTACTACGATTTTCCTACGGAGCAGATTTCAGCAGCGGAACATCCATCTCGGACCCCACCCACGGAGGCATGGTCACTGAAACTCTTCTTCATTCACTCATTTGCATGTGCACACATGTGGGTTTCAACTCCCAAGGATGCTCCCTCCAAGATACTATTTCCAGCACTCATCATTGTGTAAAAATTCTTTGGACCCTTTAATTCTTTGGCTCCAAAACCCTTCCAGGAGCTCCTTCATAGCCCAGTGCTCCTCTGAGCACATGTGTGAAGCACATCATCTGCCGGTCGGTTGATTTATGCTCACTCTAGAGGCTAACTGAGAAAGTGGCGCAAGGAGTTAGCAAAGTCTACTCCCCATACCCCCCCCACTTGAGTACTTCTAAAATTCGAGCTCGCGTCCTTGTGGCTTCTCACTGGCAGTCCTCCTCGGCTTGAAACTTTTGGACAGCACTATCGAGGAGCTCCATGGACTCTCTGAGAGTGACGTTGATCCGAAATGACTTGGGTTTAATGGTCAGACCGTAATTAAAATCTATCTTCGAGGGTTCATCTGGATTGGCCTTGAAATTGCACTCATGAGCCAGGATGGAAATGAAGAGAAACAGCTGCATCTTGGAAAGCTCTTCCCCAATGCACCGCCGTTTGCCCACGGAAAAAATCATCACGCTGCTGGCCAGGTCCTTGTCGATGAAGCCGTCTTTGTCCAAGAACCGGCCCGGATCAAAGTCCTCTGGATTAGACCACTTCACTGGGTCATGATTCACAGACCACTGGTTAACAAAAACCACCGTGTCCTTGGGAATGTGGTAGCCCAAGACAGAGGCGCTGGTGGTGGTGGCATGAGGAATGGTGACGGGCACGAAGCTGGAGAAGCGCATGGCTTCATAAAGAAAGGCCATGACGTAGGGCAGGTTGGGCTGGTCATCCAGGCAGGGTAGCCGGTCTCTACCCACGACTTGATCCAGTTCGGCCTGGACCCGAGCCTGCACTTCAGGATACCTGTTGGGTTGTTAACACAGAAGGAGAAAATAAGTGAGGAAAACGAATCCTTCTTTCGTCTAGAAAGCACATGACCATTTATTTTAATTCCACCTTCTTTATCTGAATCAGTGGCTGAATTAACACTGCCAGCCCCCAAAAAAGAAAAGAATCCCAAACAGCTTCCTAGTTTCTCACTAAATTACAGAATGGATAAACTAATAGTTCTATTTCCTGGAATAAGCCTTACCTGGCTAATGTTCTCTTTCCTATCCTAAGTCGAAAATAGTCTTAAGTTTTCTAGCCTGAAAAAGCTCCTAACGGACAAAGCCAACTTCTCCGTGAGGCACAAGGACCCACAAAACTTTCCAAGGGCCCATGGAAATGTTTTCATTTCATTCAAAATCAAAACAAAAAAAAAAAGAAGAAGAAGAAGAAAAAGAACTATTAGGTCAAAGAAAATGTTTTAATATCTAATTTTAATATCTTTATCTTTATTCCAATTAGTAATAAATGTCATTAAAAATCTCTTATGGGGTAACCTGTCTACAGAGGCAAGAGCACCCAGGGCCCACAAAGGTAAAAAAGCAGCCCCAAAAGTGGATCCTTTTTTCCTCTCATCTCCCAGGATAATTCTAGCACATACACTGCTCTCACTTCACACAAATTGGTGTTCTGATAGATAAAGCTACACATCTTCTAAACTTAAAAGGAAATTCCCAATATTCGAGAGACAATGGTACAAGCTGTAATGGTTATTGACTCTTGGCAATACAAAAGTACTGTCCTTTTGGAAAACAAAATCTGAGTACGAAGCAAGATGCAGAAGGGTAACTCCTCCCCACTCTTTTTAAACCCAGTCACCCATGCCTAGAAATGTATGTGCAGGAAACAACAGGTACAAAAATATGTAACTACAACAATAGCTGAAATTTTAAAAATGCAATCAACACTATTAAAAGAAGTGATCAAAAATAATGGGGATCTTATGACAAAAATAATAGGGAGCCATCAAAAAATCACTAAAATCAAGTTTAAAAGACAGGGAAATGTCCATGACAATAAGTGAAAATGTCAGAAGTTAAAAAAAAGTAAAAAATTATTGCATCTCTGAAAAAAACTTAAGCATGTATGGTATGAAATTATGGGTGATTTAAAAAACTGCTTCATGAACATCATACTTCAGGGGTCTGCAAACTTTTTCATGAAAGGCCAGATAGTAAATATTTTAGGCTTTGCTGACCAAACCCCCTGTCACAACTATTCAGTTCTGCCTTGTGCTAGGAAGGCAGCCACTGACAATACATAAATGAATGGGCATGGTAGTATTTTGCTAAGAAACTTACATACAAAAATGGGTAGTGTAATTTGCCAACCTCCGTCATACTGTCTTTTCACTAAAAAGAAGAAAAACATATTCATCGGCTATATTGAATCGAAAGTGACTCCAAAATTGTTTACTTTTGCTGCCCAATTCAGTTTCTGATTTAAAAAAGGGGGGGCGTTTCAAAAGATGATATGCTTCTGGTGGGATGCAAAGGACCCATTGATATTATTTTGGGATGTCTTTTCCTGATTATTGACTTCTTTGTATTTGATTTCTGCTCATTGCCCATATGTGTTTCTGTGCTCTTAATACTGAAAACAATGTTAAATATACAAAAAAATCCATTGATAAAAGTATTTGCACAGGATCTAAGGACATAAGAGGTTGCAGGATTCTAATAAGAAAAGAAGCAGTCTTTGCCTTCCAATGTCTGGATTGCCAGCAAATTCAGCATCCCCCGCCGCTTCCTTCTGCGCCAAGAAATGGTACAACCAGGGCTTCAGGTCTCTCAAGGCAACCAAGATGTGCCTTGAAGGAGCCACCTGCCCCTGGAGCAGGGTTCCCAGACAAAAACAGGCTGCTCTGTTATATCTAAATTTCAGATAAACGATGGTTAATCGTTCAGCAAAAGCATGTCCTGTGTGAATTTTCTTTTCTATTTTCTAAGTCTGGCAACACCCTATACCAGCAACCCGTTTGCGTCCTGCGTGTAGAGCTTCCCAGAGGTCTGCGACCACGATCCAGGTGGGCACTGCCGACCAGCTTGCCAACCGAGCCGGGCCCGGGAACCAGAAAAGTCCGTGCGCAGGCGCCCCCTGGATACCCTGTTTGCCTTTCGAGGCGCCGCTCTGCGCTCGATAAAAGTGACTGCTTCTGCAGGTTCTGGGGTTTTTTGTTTTTGTTTTTGTTTTTGTTTTTTACCCGGACGCTTCTAACACAACTAGCGCGGCGGTTTCGTAAACCCAGCACAACCTGCTAATTTCTGGCCGCCTTCCTAAAGCTTCCGTGCCGGGTAAGCGCGGGCGGGGCCGGCCTCCGAGCGCGCCCTCTGCCCGGGAACAGAGCCCGGACGCGCGGCTGGCTGGCAACGCCGGGGCTAGGCGGCCTCTGATCGGCGCCCGGGACTGGCCGAGCCGATTCGCAGCTGTGTTCGTTGAACATATTGCCCGTTACCCTTTCTTTCGGAACCGTGCCAATTTTGCTTCTGCTGTGCCAAGGAGGCAGAGATCGGGGCTGATCTGCGGACACTTAGAAGATCTTGCCTTTCAGGGGGCTCCCACAAATTTGTCCCCAGTTGGAGAGGTAGAGAGCCACAAGATCAAAGATGCGGGCGGTCGGGGCCCTGCTGGGTAAGGTGCGCGCGCGGGCTCGGCCGGCACTCTGCCTTCCTTCCCGAGCTGCGCTTCCGCGCCGCGATCTCAGCTTCGAGAGGTGCAGAACCTTCGAGAGGTTCCGGCGCAGAACCCCACACCCTGGGCGTTCGTCGCGACCTCAGCATATTCTAGTCCCCCACCCCACTCCACCTTTTACAGGGGAGGGAAGGAAGGCCCGGCCCACGCCTGCTGGAGGCTTTACCTGGTGAAAAGGACGAGCAGCCACTGCAGCGCGGTGGAGAGCGTGTCCTGGCTGGCGCCGAAGATGTCGGTGACAGTGGCCGGCACGTACTCCAGGTCCAGCCGCGCGCCGCCGTCCTCCGAGCCCTCCGCCGCCTCGGTTCCCGCGGAGATGATGAAGGCGTCCATCATGTCGCGCGGGCCGGCCCCGGGCTGCAGGCTTTCGCGGTGCCTCAGGAACTTGTCGAGGACGAAGTTGCTGAAGTTGCGGTTGAGCTGCTCGAACTCGCGGAAGGCGGTGCGCACGGGGTTGGGGAAGCGCTGCAGCCAGGGCAGCACGTCCACCAAGCTGCCCGCGCCCACCGTGCGCCCGAACTTCTGGTTGTGGCTGAGCAGCTCGCGGAACTCGGCGTCGTCGTGGCTGTAGCGGCAACCGAAGCACACGGCGCTCATGACGTTCGCCACGGCCACCACGGTCAGGGGCCGCGGGTCCACGAAGGCGCCGCCCGCGCTGCCGCGCACCAGCAGCGCCACCAGCTCCCGCGCCTCGCCCAGCACGTGGCCCTCGAGGACGCGCCGGCTGCGCGGCTGGCGCGTGGAGAAGGCCCGCATGGTGCTGTGCGCCGCGCGCCGCTGCACCTTCCAGCTCTGGGAGTACGGGCCGAAAGCCAGGCTGCGGCCGCCGGACACCACGCGGAAGGAAGCGAAGCGCGGCCGGTCGGCGAAGGCGGCGCCCTGCTGCACCAGCGCCTGGCGGATGGCGCGCTCGCCGTTCAGCACCACCACCGGGCAGTTGCCCAGGCGGATCTGGAAGACGTCGCCGTAGCGCCGCGCCAGGCGCGCGAACGAGAGGTGCGGCGCCGGACCCATCGCCGCCGCGTTTCCGATCAGCGGCCACGCAAACGGGCCCGGCGGCGCGGACCCCGGCTGCCGCCGCCGCTGCCGCAACAGCCACTGGCCCACGTGCACGGCGGCCAGCACCGAAAGGAGCAGCAGGAGCGTGGTCTGCTGGGACGGCAGCGCACTCGGCTGCAGGGGAGCGTCGGCACCGAGGGTGGTGGCCATGCTGGAGAGAGAACCGCGGAGGCGTGACGCTCAGGTGTGCAGAGGAAGGAGCCGGCGCCCCACGCCCCCACCCCGGGCGTCCGGCTACGGTGCGTTGTTGGGAAGGGAGGAGGTCGCGCGTAGGTCAGGGCGGGCTCACCGGGGAAGCAGCAGAGGACGCTTCTTCCCGTCCCAAACCCATTCCTCTAAGGAGAAGGGAAAGAGCGCGTTTCCACCTCTCTGTGCCCCGGACTCTCCGTCCCCACCTCAACCCCCACCTGCGTAACGGTTCCAGCAATTCGGGGACAACCCGGAGGGCATCAGGACGGAGGCGCTCAGTTCCCTCTCAGTGCCTACCACCCCGGCCCGGCAAGGCCGCGGGAAGGCGGCTCCGCGGATAGACTGACCTGCGAGGTGGCGCGGTTTCCAGCGGCGCGGGATGGACGGCTCCGAAATCGGGCCGGGGCCTCTATGGAGGGCAAGACGTCTCCAGGAAATCGGAGACCTCGCCTGGACACCTGCTGCTCTGGGAGCTTGAGCACCCACTCTGGGGCCTCTAGACGTCGTCCGAGCTAGGGGCGCTGGGATTGGGCTGGGGGCCGAGAAAGGTGCCTCCTTTGCCGAACCCCGCTATACCTGGGGCCTCGGCAAAGCCGGGGTTTTCTCGCAGAGTGCGGACTGAGACTGGGGGTCAACGAGTGCAGCCAATTCCCAGCCCTCAGGACCCCCGCGCGTCTCTGACAGCTGCTGTCGCCGAGGCGTGGCCCGTTTGCACACAGTCACGCTGGAGTCAAAACGCGCCATCCCGCCTGGCTTTTAAGATCTGTGGGGGAGGGGGGGAGGAGACGGCGGAACCTGGCGGGGCGGGGCTTGCGGGGGGCGGGGCGCCGGCTCCCTTCCAGCCGCTCAGACCCCGACCCCGGTCGCTGGGCTCCCGCGGTCACGCCAAATGGCCGCGGTTCTCCCGACGGCCTGGGCTCAGTGGCTGGCGGCTTTGCTAGAAGCTGCGGTGTGAACTTCCCGTTTGCCGGAAAACCACTCTTAATCAGTCGCTCCCCATCGAAGCCGCAGCTTCCCGGAAGCGCGCTGGGAACAGAACCTGCGGGTCCCGCGGCGTTCTCCGTGGGAGCAAGCCCCCCGCCCGGAGCTCACGACCCCCCTTCCCCCTCGGTGACTGAGCTCCGTTCCCCGAGACAAACCCGCTCGGGCTCGTTGGGCGCGCGGGCCGAGAGAGGGAACCTGTCGGTTTGGGAACGCGGAATGCCGGGTGGTTGGCGGTGCTTGCCTTTTACAGCATCCCTAGTTGTTTTATTTTATTGGAACTTTCTTGCAAACAAATGAGGCTCTTTGCCGCGCAAAGTTCTGCTTCCCCCTCGCGCAGCGAGATCAAGAATCCCCGTAAGACGCCGCTCCCAGACCCAGGGCCCGGGCCGCTCTTGGCACACAAAGGCCGGCGCTGACCGGGCGCAGCTGGTCGCGAGGTTTCCCGCTTCGCAGCCACCCAGGTGGCGCCGCCCACTGCCCCGCGCGGGGTCGCGCCGGCCGCGTCCGGGACCCTCGGCGGCACAGGGCCGGGAGCCAAGCTGGGGCGAACTCGCGGCGAGGAGCGGAGGGACCGCGCTCTGATGATCCCGGAGGGAGGGACGAGGGGGAGGAGGAGCAGGAGGCCGTTCTCCTCTCGCCTACCAATTTTATCGGGTTGAAGTTTCCTCTGCTGTCCCTCCCCCTTGCGTGCCGAGCAGGGCTTTGCGTGCGCGGCTTCTGGAAAGTCTTGGGCTCTGGTCATATCCTTGGGCGCTTCTCACGGCACCTGCCACGCCGAGGCGGCGGGGGCGGGGGCGGCGGCCCAGGGCAGCGTGCCGGCCGCCACCACCCACCGCGGCGCACGCACGGCCGCACCCCGGCTGGCCAGCGAGGCGGACGCCCTGACCACCCTATCGGGGGCGGATCTGGGCGCTGTGAACTCGAGATGGGGACGCTTCCTTCGAAGGGGGGAAGCCGGAGGTGCTCGCGGCCCGGTAGCTTCCCCGGCCGGCTGCGCCCTTCCTTACAGGCTGGTACAAAGCATTTGCAAGCCCCTGGGGAGCAAAGGCCTTCTCCGCAAGGCTGGAGAAAGGGTGAGCCCGGGGAAGGGTGGGATGTATGGTAGTTGCCCAGGCTGGAATTTTATCTCCGGGCCTCTGGGATCCTCAAGCGTCAATATAAAAGTGGGGCGTTTACCACGTGACAAATCTGCGCTTTGAGTATTACCCATGCTGGAGATCTCTATTCTATTGCTTTTCAGTTTACAGATGTGGAAACTGGTGTTCGGAGAGGTTATGTGACTTAACCAAGATCACACACACTGCAATAATACAATTACAGTCATACAGTATAATCTTGGGGCGCCTGGGTGGCTCAGTCTGTTGAGCCTCATACTCTTGATTTCGGCTGAGGTCATGATCTGCGGCTTGTGAGATTGAGCCCCATGTCCACTCCCGCTGGGCGTGGAGCCTGCTTAAAATTCTCTCTCTCTCCCTCTGCCTCTCCACCCCTCTTTCTCCTTCTCTAAAAAGTAAAAATTAGAAAAAAAATACAATATAATCTTAAATGATTTCTCTTTTCAAGGAAGTGATTGAAATGCTTGATGGTTTTCTTCCCCTTCCCACTTCTTACCAGCTATCAAGAGGTGAAGCCAGAATTTGAACCCCTTGAGTCCCATTCCAGATCCATCGTACCCGTTTGTGTGGAAGGAAATCCTCAGATGTAAAAAGCACAAACGCTATATCTCTCCTGCCTGCCTTTAAAAAAGGGGGGGGGGAGGTGCCTGGGTGGCTCAGTTGGTTAAGCGACTGCCTTTGGCTCAGGTCATGATCCTGGAGTCCCAGGATCGAGTCCCACATCGGGCTCCCTGCTCAGCAGGGAGTCTGCTTCTCCCTCTGACCCTCCTCCCCCTTGTGCTCTCCATCCCTCATTCTCTCTCTCTCAAATAAATAAATAAAATCTTAAAAAAAAATTCAGCTGGAAGAATTTTTTTAAAATAGTTGTTTTTATTTACAGAAGTGAGGACTCTGAGGATCACAAAGAAGAAATAGTGTGGTCACCTTTTGCAATAAAGTTGGATGAGGGAGGCCTGTGGACTATGCCTCATAACTGACCTGGAAATAAGTGGTTAAATTTTAAAGAAGCCTAAAGAGGTGTTTGAAAAGAGACACCTTCAGTGAGAGACTGAAACCAACAATAAAACATCTGACCCGATAAGAAAATGCTTTTTGTAAAAGTCTCCATTCAGCAGTTTTTGAGAGGTTCTCTGAAAATGATTTCATACACTGTAATGGAGCACTCGGATCCATGATGAAATTATTTTTGAGCAACTGGGTAAATAAGCATTGGTTTCCCAGAGCTGTGTTGGCCTACACATCCTTTGAAATGAGTTTCATAACCTTACAATGTCCAGCTTTAACAAGACCCTTGCCTAATAATTCAGTTCAAGATGGCTGCATGCATCAGTCTCTCAGTAGGCATTAATTTAATAGACAGGAATTGTCTGTGGGCTTATGCCAATTCTGAGCCATCAAACATTCCTGAAAGCTCTATCCCAGCATCCCTACCAGAAACAGAGCAAATAGGGGTTGCCTTTAAATCAAGTACATTACTGTTTTCAAAAGTATAACCCAAGGCTGTTCCTAAGCCCTCTTGTTAATAATTCCTGAATAATGCTGTATAATTTTTAGATAAACTAGATGCATGCCCTCTTGCAATAAGATAATAAGTTAAGCATATCCTCCAAGCTATGGTACCTTGGGCTCAGCTCTTGTTCTAGGACATGCTCTAAAAAGCAGAGTAACCAATTGGGTCCATGCTGTCAAAAAGGCAAGTCCTTATCAATTATGACAGACCCAAGTGATCGGCTATGATAACAGCTTCTTCAGAATTTGCAGGTCTCAGATTCTCTCAGACTTGTGGTGGAGGATCCATCTGGTACTGGACAGAGATGTAGGGTAAATCCTAGGTGGCCCGTGGGGACCCCCGACCCAGCTCAAGGCAGGGCCCTCTCTCTAGTGAGAGTCTATACCAGGCTCTTTAGTTATCAACACAACTTCTCAACCAAACCCAGTAGTATTTAAGGTCCTGGGATCTCCTTTCAGTCAACAGCACAGGATATGGGAATTTCGCCCTCCTAGATCCCAAACTTGAATTATGTGATGCAAATAACTTTCAAAAGAACAGCTAAGCTAGAGAGAGAGTTTAAAGTGGAGGTTTGAAACACCTTATATTATACTGATTCCAAAGAACAGAAATCGAGCATAAGCTTGTTTAAGCAGGCCAGGAATGCACTGGCTCATGTGCAGAGAAGGATAACTGTGGTACCTTACAGGATGGAAGGATCTGGGACTGCTCTCCCCGATCTCTGTTATGCTGGTCTCTGCTTGGGCTTTGTTCTGGAGACTCTCCTCATGTGCTGGGCCAGCCCCAAATGAACCACCCCAAGAAAAAGAGAGTGTCTCTCTTCCAAGGTCATTATACAAGACCCCGGAAGGACTCTGACATGCCAGGCCAGCATCAGGCCACCCTGTGCCAACGGTCTAGGTCTGATATCAGGAAAAGAGGGATGTGGGAAGAGAGAACTTTTGTCCATCACTCCCTTTTGGGTTGAAGAATACTCCAAACCTATTATCCTTATCGTCATCATTTTGTTTTTTTTTAAATATTTTATTTATTTATTTGGATTCGGGGGGGGGGGGGGGGGAGAGGGACAAGCAGACTCTGCACTTAGCGTGGAGCCCAACACAGGGCTCCATCTCACAATCCTGAGATCATGACCTGAGCCGAAATCAAGAGTCAGATGCTTAATGGACTGAGCCACCCAGCCTCCCCCTTCATCGTCATTTTAAATCAGCAAATCAGATAGACGCGTTACACCTGGAGCTAATAGCCAGGAAAGTCAGCCCTTATGTCATCAGGCTAGAAGTCGGTTTTCTTGATGGGCTTTCCCTCTAGCATAATCCTCCAGCATAATGTCAATTTTGCGGTTGCACACCATGCTCTTCCACCCTCTCCAAACACACATATGCACATGCACTGAGCGGAGAGAGGAGTAGAAGCAACAGTCTCTCGCAAGTCTTCGACATAAGGGATGCGCAAGCATCCGTCATCAGATCCATGCTAGCAGGCAGAGAAATAGCAATCAGGGGATATAGCAAGTGTCCCAGGCGACTGACAGTATGACAGAGAGAGGAGTAGTAGGAAGCTACAGATCATGTGCTGGGAATTGAGAGGATTCTTAGCAGGTAACACCAAAACCCTGTGCCCCACCTGACTTGCTTCTGCTTCCTTCCTCCTGGTACCATACGGGCTAAGAAGCACAGAGCTAACAAATCTTTCTTATTTCATCTAACATAAGAAGTTATCATTTGCAGATGCACTGTTGTTTTATGCATTAATGTAAACACAGGGGGCTGCCATTTCTAATTATGCCACCGATTAATAAGACATAGTCTAATTTCCCAGAGGTTAAAAACATTTTCAGTGTGTTTTAGAATCGACAAAGCACCGTGGGCGCTGGCGGTGATCCTCTGGGTTCTCTGCCTTTATATTCAGTAGTAGTGGTTCTGAGAGCTCTTAGATGAGGACGTTGGAGCCGGGAGTGTTACCTACCAAAGCCATAACCCCTTCCATTTTTTTTTTTTTTTTACTGGATGTGAACAATTGATGTTTTTTCAATTCCATGTAAAGCGTAGGGAACAGCTTTGCTTTGGAAGATTTTGCTAATTTTATTGACCTTAATAAACCCAAGAA